CAGTGTCTCCACTACTGGTAGTTTCTACGTGCCTCATTTCCCTCCTGGGTGCCTTCAACACTGATCATCCCTCAACAGGGGGTCATTTCATTTAAAAATCTAACAAACGTTCTGGGATTTTTTTTTTTCTGTTTCCTGTTTGGACTCGGAGAGGTAAACATACATGAATTAACTTTTTTTTTTTAATTGAAGAATAGCACTAAGCATATAAGCACAAACTTTTCAAAGCATCATTTCTTCTATCTTTAATAAATTAGAAGATACTTTAAGTTCCTGAGAAGTGTTGAAATCATTGTAAATAGTGTTTCTCTCTCTCTCTTTTTTTTTCATTTTTCTTTTTTTGTACCAGGGATTAAACCCAGGGGTGCTTAACTACTGAGCCACATCCTCACCCATTTTACTATTATTATTGTTATTATTATTTTGACACAGGATCTCACTAGGTAGCTTAGGGCCTCACTAAGTTGCTGAGACTGCCCTCTAACTTGTGATCCTCCTGCCTCAGCTTCCCAAGTCACTGGGATTACAGGGTCCACCACCACCCTGGTAAGGTTTACTCTTATACAGCATACTGTGAGCATCTCCATAGGCTTCTAGTGATTCAGTTTCTGGATAAAGAGAAACATAATGTGATGATGTACGTGATGTGAGGCGAGGTGAGGGTTGGTTAGACCCACTGGGCCATACAGGAAAGTGCCTCAGAGGGAATATGCAGGTCTTTGGGGCAAGAGGATTCCTTAACTGGGGGAGTTTGATGGTCACTAAGGGAAGGGGAGGTAGATCTGGCTTCTTTTCCCCCAAAGTTCCAGCAAGGAATAGAATAAAAGAAGAACCTTCAAGAATAGTGCAGTGGGCAATGGCAGAGCCAGAAGAACTTCCTAGAAAGAGACTGAATGTGGTCCGTGTGTTAGCTATCATCACTGTGACCAGAATACCTGGCCAACTTAAAGGAGGGAAGGTTTGTCTTGGCTCATGATCACAAGGTTTCAGACCATGGGCAGCCAGCTCCATTGCACTGAGGTGAGGCAGAACATCATGGCAGAAGGATGTGGTGGAGGAACACTGCTCAGCTTCCCTTCAGCAGGGACAGAAAGGGAGACAGAGACAGAGAAAGGGGCCTGAGGCAAGACACAGTCCCCAAGGGCACAGCCCCACTGACCTACTTCCTCCAACCACACCCCACCTGCCTACCATTTCCACTACCTCAGCAGTTCATTCAATTGTTAATGGATTAATCCACCGAAGACATCACTTAGGATCCCATCACTTCCCAAAAGCTCCACCTCTGGACATTGCTGTATTGGGGACCAAGTCTTCAACACATGAGCTTTAGGAAGACATCTCAGATCCAAACCAGAACGGGCACGCTGAGGATTCACCAAAGCCTGACATGGCTGCAATGGCAGTTGTGTTTGGATTCCTCTCTCTTCTTCTTTTATTCCTGGTAAATTGTTGATATTGACATCAATACCTTCACTTCAGTCACCAGATAAACTCTATCACCCTCTTCCATATATAGCTCTTCTTTCAGTATTATTGGGCTTGTAAACCTTAGTATTTTCCAGTGTTTTGTTTCCAAACCAGCATGTCTAAGGTGACAGAGTGGTTGGTACAATGAAAGGCCAGATGTGCACCAAATAATAGACTGGAATTAGTGAGAGTAGAAAGTTAGCAGTCTGTCCCCCCCACGTATGAGCTTGCTGGGAGCAAAGATCTCTATCTTGTCCATTTCTGCTCCCCAGTACAGGGCACATAATAGATGCTCAATAAATATTCATAGAGTACATGATGGAATCAGAAATCAAGCAATAGTTTATTTAGAACATCTCTGAGCTGAGCAATAACCCTAATAGTCAGGTGGGCAGACTCTAATGAAAAGCATATCCCCCCAATTTAAAGGACAGTGTGACTCCAACGTGATATACTTATATTTTAACTTGAAACACTTCACTAAAAATTAGAGCTGCCATTGAGGAAGTTCCTTGGACCTACAGAAGCTCATGTGTTCCCTCCTGCCCCTCTCCCCAGATGAAAGGGAGCCCATCTGGCACACACTGGAAACCAGATGTGCTGCAGCAACCAGCATAAAGGTCTCCCTGTGCTCACAATTCCTGTCTAGGAAGTCAGAGAACTTTTGGGAAATGCAGAGCAATGGCCAAATTGGTTTGCCATGGAATGTATAAACCCAACTGACCCCATGATTGGATTTCATCCTCTGACCACAAGAGTGCCAGGCAAGGGAAATGACTGAAGTTTTCCCCATCTAAGGCCCATTAAGACAAACTGATTGACTTTAAACTTTCAGGTTTTAATTTGCTTTCTACCCAGATGGCCCCTAGGGAAGGCTGGAACAGCCCTTCCCCCTAAAAACTGGTTTAACTCTTTTTCTCTTTGGTTGCTTAATCTGAAGGAATTTTTAAAAAGGTAATACACACTACTAATTGCAAAATAAGTAACAAATTTATTGTAGAAAGTTATGAAAATATTGAAAGTAACATTTAAAAATCAACTTCAGGGGCTAGGGATATAGCTCGCTTGTCTAACATGCATGGCCCTGGATTTGATCCTAAGCATTGCAAAAAATAATTTTTTAAATAAATAAAAATCAACTGCAATTATTCTACCCAAATATATAAATATCTTTGCAAAGCTATTGCTATCTTTGCTCTCAGCAAGCTCATACTTATTAGTTTTTAATGTGAATTATGTGTATATGTCTTTAAAAAATCAGGACTAATCTTTTTCTAACATAAGTTACTGTGTTATAAATAAACATCCTGGAACATAAACTTTCTCTACATCTCTGTCTATGTTTGCTCATGCTTGGTCCCCCTCACACTCCACCCCACCTTTATTTATTTTATTTATTTTTCTCATGCTTGGTTTTTAAAAGAGGAATTAGTGACTCAAAGATATAAATATTGTTGAGGCTCTTGAGGCATATTATCAAGTGGCCCTCCAGGTAGGTTGTACCGATTTTGGCTTTATCTGCTGGTTTGACTGTATCTTTGAAGGAAGTTTGCTTCTTTCTCTCCGGCTGCATCCTGAGTTGAGATTCTAGGTCAAGGCAAGGCCAGTGAGTGATACAGCCTGTCTATGATAGTTGATGTAGATCTACATGACTCTTCTCCTTGGCAGATGAAGAGTGAGGTTAGACCATCTTGGCATGCTTTGCATCCAGATATTCCAGGACTCCATCCATGAGGAAAAATTAAAAAATACACACACACACACACACACACACACACTTTCAGGGACCCTCGGGCTCCAGCCTTCTCACTCACTTAGGTACCACAGGGGTTATTGGCACTTTTAACATGTACTTTGCTTATTAAAAGGTCTAATATTAACACACAACCAAGTAAATCTGTCGAGGGAAAGGATTTGGTGTTTGGTCTGTAAGAGAGAAATATCCAACCTTTGGAGAAGGCAGATAAGACTTCACACACCTCATAAAAGATGACAGGGAGGTTCAGGTATGTCCAACAGAAAACAAATCTGAATTTCTTAATGTGGTTGACATGGACGGTGTTTGGGCTACCCTGGAGTCTGATTTCCCTTTCTATGTTTGGGGAATTCCCCACCATATCAGCCTTGGAACAAAGTATGCTCCCTTATCTCAAGAGCCCAATACTTAATTCCTAAGCATCCCTTACAGTAAGCCAGGGGCATGGGACCCAAACTGGGGTAGGTAGGTGTGCTTCCCACACTCAGATTTGGGAACTAGTGACTTATGAAGATAAAAGGAGAATTCTTCCTGTAGCAGCAGTAGTGGCTACAACATTGGGTTTCCCGGTGGTGGCACTGGTAACATCAATAGCCCCCAAATCAAGGGTCAGTGGCAGTGACAAAGAGCTCTGCAGTGTGGATTTGGCTGTGGTCCTTATAGCCTTTCTTGTAAGCCTGTTTTCCAAGCCTGTCCCCCAACCTTCCAAATAACGTGTGGGTTTCCCCCACCAATATCCTTTCCATTAATTCATTAAACCAATCTGCTGCTTGCAGCCAAGAATCCTGGCTGATTATATCCATCAGATTCCATGTGGTCATCTAGAAATTGGGACTCTTGGTACTATGCTAGCTCAGGGCACTGAGATGAAAACTAAAGCATGTGAAAGCACCTAATCCCCACACTACAGTATATAGCAGAAACTCAGTGTAGGGTGGAGGGTCACCCTTGTTTTTAATCCTAGGCATTTTGAGTTACCTGGCTCATGGAAATCAGAGTGCCATTGGGAGAGGAAAAAAAAATCAAGCCATTTCACTCACAGTTGTAAACATCACTATTATGATTATAACTGTCATTTGTCACTTGCTCTACTGGACATCAGGCACTGTACTTGACAACATATATAAACAGCCTCCAACCCTTACAACACTACAAGATACATATTCCTTCCATTTTACAAATGAAGCATCTGACACTCCAAATGGTTAACAATTTGCCAAAGTTTTTTTTTTTTTTTTTTTTTACAAGGAATTTAAACCCAATGGAAGCAAAAGCTGTAGGGATTGTACAAAAGTTTAGAGATTCTGAGAAAAACTTAAAAATGTGAAAGATAGACATATCTAGACATCCATCGGAAATCAGTTCAACCATTTTGATCAAATCAAAACAATTAAATGATTTGATTGAGATTTCAGTGCTGAAACCTTGACCTAGAACCCCATGTATGCGTTTAGTCAAAAGGGCCAGATAGTTCCACCTCTGTCTAGATCCTGGATCTCAATGGGTGCAAGAAGATGTTTATCAGAACCCTCTTGAGAATTCTTTCAAAACACACATACCTGCCCTCACCAGCATCCCAAAGAAAAGGGACCCCCATAGCAGCTGCTGATACAAGCAGATCCTGAGACCAGTCTTAGATGTCTTGCAATTTGGGGAAACCCAAGGGAATTTTTTTTTTCATGAAGACTCACAGTTCAACTTTTACTGTCTCTAGGCACTAGGAGAAAAAAAAAATTCAAAGGTCAAAAATAAAAATACTAGTTTCTCACAATGCAGTTGGAGTGACATTGCAATGACAGGAAAATGTGAACTATGTGAGGGAGGGCAGAGGAGCTCTTCTCAAAGCTCCGGGCGTCTGAAAGGAGCACCTCCAATCCACCCAGGGGAGGCCTGGTGAGTCTGCATGTCTTTCAAAGCCAGTCTATACTTTGGCTTCCGAAATGAAAAATTACACCAAAAGAAATACCTGATTTTTATTAACTATCCTCAAAAGGAGTCTTTCACTAATTCTGGGGAAGGTATTTTGCTTGAGTGTTTTCCCACTTTGGCAAATGGGATGCAGAGGGGTTGGATCTAAGGGATTTTGCCCTGGGCAAATGGTGGAGCTCAAAACCTCTGCCAAGTCCAGGAACAATTTAAAGGAGGGAAGAGATTTCCTTGAATCAATATGGTGGAGCCAAAATAAATGGCTACTCTTGTTCTCTTGAGAAAACATTATTACTTACTTAACTTTCTTGCTTTCTTTTTAACAAAAGAGATCCTGATGCAATGGTCCAGAACCCTTGGTTCAGGAGGCACAGAGGCTGGGTCCCGTCCGGAGGCCTCCGAAGCCGCTGGGTGGCGGGAGCCGAGCGAGGGGCGGAAGTGGCTTTGGCCCCGCGCCCCGCCGCGCAGCCTGTGCGCGGAGCTGGGTTTTGACAGATTAAAGATGGCTCCGGCAGATAGGGCAGGAGCGGGTGGTGTCTGGGCACTTACCCAAAGCTCTCCGTCAACAGTGGCAAAGCGAAAACACACATGGACGATCCTGGATCCGCCGTGAAGATTTTGGAAGGAAATCTTAGCGAAAAGCCAGAGCAAGAGACGGGGGCGATAAATCAGGCCGGCAGGAGTCGGGGTGGGAGGACGCTGCTGCCGGCGGCATCACCCCCGGCCAGCGGGAGGCACACGTGGGGCCCAGCCGGCGTCGCCTCCAGCGCCCCGCCAGCTTATTCTGGCTCCGAGAAAATGAGAACATCTTGGCTGAAGATGTTGGGGGCAGCGAGTGATTTTCCCTTATTAAAAAAAAAAAAAAAAAAAAAAAAAAAACCTTTCCCCAAAGGGAACCAAAGAAATGGGGCTTCTTGTTCATCAGGCAAGGAGTTTACTAAAGCCTGGTGGCTGGGAGCTGAGGCTTCTTGGGGACGACTTCAGTATCCTGAAAAGCGGAAGGAGAGAAACAGGGTGAAGAGCCAGGCCCCATTTTTCAGAGATGTTTCCTTGGGTCCCACACTGCGGTTTTTGATAAATTTTAAAGTGAGTGGCCAACAAAAACTCCCCAGGTGGTATGATATGTAAAGACCTGGGATTTAGATTCAGGCCCCTGGGCCTCAGTTTCCTCATTCTTATCATAGGTGCAATACCTCCTGCCTCATAATATAAGACTTAGACACAGCACAGGACCTGGATGTGGCAGCCTAGATCATTGGCCTCCACTTGAGGAAGCACATCAAGTCCATGGGAAAGATGTTCTATTCTCCAAAATTCCTAATCAAACAGTCAAGGAAAAGCAGAGAACAATTAACTTGTTAGCTGTGTGCTGATAGAAATAGATCCACATTAAAAAAAAAAAATCTCCTTAGTACTTCCTTGTCACAGCCTCTTCCAATCTACCCCTCCCCTCTGAGCCCAGATCCCTCTGACCAGGTCTTTCCTTTGTCCAGAATTTGAACTAGTTCCTCACACACTAAGGAAAAGGTCTTACATAGAACGGTGCCAGCCTCCCACTGGTCACTGCCAGTGTTTCTCAGGCAGGGTAGAAGCAGCTTCCTTCCCCGGCTTTGTCCCATGGGGTAGATTGGAAATGTTTAGAAGCCTTCGCTTGTCACTACAGAAGCGCGTTAGCAGGGGAAGGAATGTAAACTGCTGTGTGAGGGGGTGTGGGCAGCAGCCTTCTGTAACAATCTTGGCCAAAATGCCAATAGCCACCTTGCTGAAGATATTTGAGCCTCTCTGAAGTAGAGTTTGAGTCTCTGGTCTTCGTTCTTGCTGTGTCCCCTGCATTAAATGCTCATCTGTCACGCTGTTCTATTCAACTTTCTCTTCCTCAAAGACCCAATTCAAAACTAATCTCTTCTAGGAAGGCTTCCTGGTCCCTTCTATTTCCTCAATGGCAGAACACTTCAGTTCCTCTGAAGTGGCCTCTATGGGATCCCCAATCACACAGATTGGTTGACCCACCTGCCCTCAACCCCCACTCTCCAAGGACTAAGAGTTGGTCCTCATGTGTATATCCTCAGGGTCTAGCACAAGGCCAGCACCCAATGAGGCTCAATACATACTGACCGGAGGAAAGAATGATGACCTTTGGCTTCTCTTCTTGTCCATGAGCCTGTGTGAACAAAGTCTGCAGGGTAGTATTCTCTCTTCCTCAAGCAAACTGCACAAGAGCTTTCCAAGATTAACTGTGAGATCACATTGCTACCAGCATGCTCAGCCCTCTTCTTTGAGAGCTGTGTTGTTGAGATGTCTGCTCTTCTCTTTCCTTTTCTCTGTGAACTGAATTATTTTTTCTGGGTCATTAAAATTTGTTTAATTTGGTTAATACCTTATTTATTTAATAATAGATTCCACCCTGGAAGCCAAGTTCAGGAACTAGGAGGCAGGGTTGCTATTTCTTTGATAGAGATCTCCTTGGCTCCAGTAATCTTAGTCCAGGCATGCTCTAGGAAACAGACTCAAATTGAACATTTGGATTCCTCAGGGAGGTGCTATAGCAGTGGAGACAGACAGATAAATAGCTGTATATGAAGAGAAGGATGCTTAGTCCTAAACAGAGGGAGAAGCACAGTGCTAGAATAGAAATGCTAAATAATATGTGGTAAATGAATAGAAACCAGCAATCAGTTTGAGAATAGAGGAGGCAGAAAGACACACTACTCCTGTAATGATCATCTTTGTGTTACCTTAGATGCTGGTCCAAACTGTGATTATGACATTTGATAATTGACATTAATTACTTCCCAAAGTCACGTCCTTCGATCCATTCTGCACCCTGCTATGAGGCTAACATTCTGAAAACAAACTTCCTGCTTACCTTCCTCACACTTAGATTTCAAATACCCTCCCATAATCTAGGGCCCAAACTCCTAAGCCTAGCATCTGAGGGTCTCTCCTGTCCCCACTGTGGATGTAGCCCTCCTCCCTGTCTCCTACTCTTCCCCCGCACCAACCTTCCACTCCAGGCAAAGTGATTAGCTGACTGTGCCCCTCAACATGAAGAGGGGCCCTGTCACCTTTGTGAATGTGATCACACTATTCCCATTATCTAAAATATCTTCCCTTTTCACTGGACTCCTCCAAATCCTGCCTGTTCGCCTTCAATTTTCTCTCAACACAAACATGCTCAGTTTCAGAAAGCTAAATCCTTCCAAATGGCCCAGCTTATTTTTTTCAGCCAGGTTCAGAGCTATCAATTGGCAGCCTTCATATCCCATCTGTTCTGGTCTGGAGGGTAGATCACATGATGCAAGCATAGCTACCTGCGGTCACATCCCTTAGTACTACCACAGGCCGGCTAATATCCCTGAGAATGGAATCAAAGTGGAAAAGTACCTGGGAATTGAGCCTGCTTCTTACTTTTGCTTTTCTTATCACTAACAGGTCTCCAAACCTATCCTGGGCTTACTGGGTCAATTTTAAAAAAGGCTTTATTCTTTTTTTTTTTTCCAGTGTCCTATTGGACAGGAGCCCTTGTTCTGTGATGATTGCAGAAGGGATGCTGAGACCACCCAGGAGAGCCCAGGACTTCTCAAATTCATCCCAGAGCACAAAAGCACAAACCCAAGCCAGCTTCCAGGTAGTCTGAGACCATCCACAAAGGTGGACATTTCTGCCCACACCATTCAAGCTCTCAAATGAGGCCTTTCCCATCGAGGTGAATTCAGGCCTAACATCAGGAGAGTTAGCTCCCAGATCATCCCTGCCATGTTCTAGAAGTTTCACCCAGTGAAGTCATTTGATCCCTAGGCATTAGTTTGTTCAGTCATAAACCACATACCTTGCTAAGTCTTTAAGAATAGAGTTGATATATTTATAAAGATGTGATACAGAGAAAATGACAAATAACTGCTAGTGACAGTGACCTCTAGACTGCTGCTAGGGGTCCTAAAAACTAATGCAGAGTGAAATCCATAGTCAGGGAAATCACAGGAACACAGCATAGATCCAAAGAGAGCAGGAAGTTAGAATTCTGCATTTGAAATACCATCTCCTCCTGCCTATCTCTACCATTTCCCACCACACACACACACACACACACACAGACACACACACTCTAAATTCAGCTTTTCCTAACCCTGTTCAGTCTTCTCAGCCTGACTCTCACTCCTGGTTTTCTATACATTTTCCCTTTTGCGGGGAGTCAGGGAGGGGGAGGCTGGGGATGGAGCCCAGGGCCTCACACTTGCCAGGCCAGAGCTGGATCACTGAGCTACACCCACAGCCCACATCTCCTTTTATTCCAGAGTCACTGCTATGTGCATTTTTATTTCTCTAGACTCCACATCCCCTTCTCATTGTTCTTTAGCAACCATCAAAGGGTGCAGCCTGTACCGTTCCCTGCTCGCGGCCTGACATCCGTTCTCATTCCCTGCTTCTGTGTCCTGGAGTCTCCCATCAGAAGTCTCTCACTTCCCACCCGACCTCCCCGTGACCGATCAATCCCCAGCCATCGTTCTCCTGAAGTGGGTTCTCCATAAATGCCTTCTGAGTGAACAAAAACTCCTGTCGTTATTCACTATCTTACAAGCCCTTTAAAAGAATGCCACCAACTCCCCTCCTGTCCTGGCCTCATCAGGAGACACGCAGCCCCACTATACAGGGCAGGTCAACCAGAAACAGAGCTGTAAAATCCAGGCAGCCCAGTTCATCGAGCCACAAAAGCAGCGAACCTTGTTTTTCCTTCCAGCCTCATAACCCCACCAGCAAGACAGACCACCTTTAACTAGGTCAACCCAATTTCCCAGTCCTCACTCTGCTCTCACCCCCTTTATTATCATGGTTCTCGGTTGGAGGCACAACATTTACTGTGCTGATTTATGTCTGGAAAAAAAAAATGGAAAGTTTCATCAACTCTTGACTGAACTGAACGAGACCTTCCTGTATGGAAAAGCACACTATGAAGGGCAATGTATTGCCCTGCGCCCTCTCCGCTGGGGGATTTTTCTAAAAAGTCTCCTGAGCTGGCTAGAACTGAAATCCTGACAACTCTGAGATAAAAGTCAGAAAAAAGGAGAACTGCTTTAGAAACACTAGTCTCATTTAACTCATGAGGAGCCATGGGTCACAGGACTTGATCTTCTCACCCCATCCCTTCCTCTCCAATTCTGGGCATCGCTTTCCCTCCAGTCCCTGTAGACCAGGCCCCGCAGGTAAACAAAAGCAGATAAACAGCTGCTGCATGAAAACACCTAGGGTGCATGGATCCCCTGCCCCACAGTGTCTGTCTCAACTTTTCCCTTTACTTTTACATGCTGCAAAGTAAAAACCAACCAGAAACATAGCCAGTGAAGGCCCCATGGCACTGAGGATTTCACTGGGTCCAAGCTGAAAGACACCCTCACCCAAGAGAGTTTGTTATCTTGTTTGCTTTACAAACCAATGGCACACAAACAGGAGACTTGCAACATGAAGGGTTCTTGAACTTAATTTTTGTGTGTGTTTATTAATAGGCAAATGAAAACGCAGCACGGGTCTCCAACCGTTGGAACTTTTGTCCCACCTACACTTGTGTAACCAGGTCAAACGGAGCCGGAGTTCTATGAGAAAGTGGATTCTAACTTTAACAAATACATAAAGTCATGACCCTTTTGTTTTGATATGCTGCCTGTTCCAGACAGGCAGAAAAGCCTCCGTTAAAACCAAGAGGTATACAAGACTTCACAATTTATTAAGAAGATTAGCTGGCTTTAGTTTGTCCACTAACGATTAGTCACTGAACGAGCATTCCCTGGGAAGCCTCCGAGGTCAGGTAACTCAAGGAACCTTTTGGTTTGAATTTTTGTTTCCCTCTGTCTTTTTGATATGTCACTGTGCTCTGGAAATTAAGGGCTATTTGACATACACCCATTCCTAACTATATTATATACAACGTGACAGGCCCACCTGAAATATTGTATGTTTTTTTACTTTCCACTATATTTGTAGAACTGCCTGCTGTGAAATTACAAAGTTCATGGTTCAGCTGAACTTTTGAACTCAAGTGAGGATTTGACACAGCAAAACAATCTAAATGAACCCAACACGAAGTTTTCATAGGCGAAACTGCTTTTCAGCCTATTGTCTGGGGTAATTGGGTAGGAAAGTTCTTTATTGATGTTGTAAAAACTACCAGTTTAATAACAGGCAGAGGGAGTGGAGAGGAGTGGATGTACCTTGGAGCATCTGAAATCACGCTTCTCTGCGAGTTCACTGAACTCTACCTGACCCCGTGAGGAAGGTCTCCCCAGGACAACCCACCAGCTCTAGGGGGTTTGAGATCGAGCAGCTCTTAATACCTCTGGGCAGAATGGCTTCTCAAGTGCTACGCAAAATAATCATAATATTCATTCAGAATAAAGTAGCTGCTACATGCACCAAATGCCTACCAAGTGCCAGATCCTTTACCTACCTATTCTCACTCAGTCTTCACACTACCAAAAAAACAAACAAACAACAAAAAAAAAAACTGTACAAGACTGCCATTACTGTCTCCATTTTGTAGATGAGAAAAATTGAGAACAGTGAGATTGAGCAATTTGCCCAAGATCACATAGCTAACATTGGGTCTTTCTGTGCCTCAGTTCTCTCATCTACAAAACAAAAATATTGGCCTAAGTGATTTCGGATTTGGGGTTTAAAGTGCTTGCTTGTGCATAGGTAGCAATGAGAGAGGGCACATGCCTTATAAAAGACAGAAGCACTTCCATTCATAGGAATCCTAATACAACCTATGAAGCAGATAGGATTGCCCCCAACTTCACTGTTGAAATAGAGTTTAGGTGAGTTCTTTGACTTGCCTAAGATTTACACAACTGGCAGGAACAGAGTTTCCATAAAATCCCTGACCCTAAAACTTAGGATCCTTCTCTCTTGACTGCAAAGGTAATGTGATATCATTTGGGTCTGCTTGGCCTCCACCTCCAAAATTTCTATTGAGTTTGAGAGCAAAGGTTGGCAGGCTGGGAATGAGGAGGAAGATTTTTTTGTTTGGTTGGTTTTTGTTTTTTTCTCTCTTTGCCTAAGTTTCAGATCGATTCAGAGTTTTTAATCTTAAAAACAAAATCATTGCCTCTTGGATTTGAGACCATGGTGCCAGGAAACTCTCTTGCAGTATGGTGCTAAATCCCGTTATCCTGGGGGTCCACCATCACCCACTGGTGTGACTGTTCTTAAGAAATCAAAAGAAAAAAGCCTGCTAGACACTAATAATTGAGATAAAGTGCATCAAATGTTTAGTCTAGTCCTTTAGTAAATGATTGACAAACTTACCTACCACATTTTTATCATTTCTACTTTGAAAATAAGGACACAGGTTTCTCCCACTCCACATCTTGGTCATTATCAGGGTCCAACAAGCTTACTCCTTTATATCTTGCCTATGCCCCTTATAAACAATATATAGCTACATTTTACTGTTTTTAAAATTTAATAATTTTATCTTTTAATTGGACATTTTACCCATTTACATTAATATAATTTCTAGCTTATTTGGTTAAGGCTATCATCTTATAATTGGCTTTCTGAGTTGTTCTACCTGTTTTAGGTTCCTTTTCTCTCCTTTCTTGTCTTGTTTTTGGGTTAATCAAATGTCAGGGACTAGAAGGAAATTCTCCTTCAAAGATTAGCCTGACAGCCCCCTGGGAGACATCCTGCCTGGGAGGCATCCTGCAGCTACCTATCTCCCAGGAACATCCTGCGGTTATCAGGATCATCAGACATCTTGCACCTGGCAGTTTTACCACTCACATCCAGCAATTGTTGATTAGAGAGCTTCCCCATCCCCAGCATATAAATACCCCTGTGTGAACAATAAAAGTTTGCAGCTTGATCAGAATTTTTGTCTTGCTCTCACCTTTCGTGTCTCTTGTCCCTTCATTCCTCCCCATCTAGGTTCGCTGCCCACATTGATGTGTCCTGCCGGACGGGACATTTGGCGCCCAACGTTGTGTGCCCGAGCCTTTGACTGAGAAGGAACGCCATCCTCCGGGAAGACTTGGCCAAGCGGGAGCACGAGATCGCCTCGGCAGACACCACCGAGAGACAGATCCAGGAGGAGAGTGAGGACGACGAAAGGTGAGTGACCCACCATGGGACAAGCAGTTTCGTCACATGATTTGTTTTTGTCAGGCCTCAAGGAGGCCCTCAAGACACGGGGGGGGGGGGGGGGGGGGGGGGCACGTGTTAAGAAAAAGGACTTAAAATTATTCTTTTCATACATAGGAGAATTGTGTCCATGGTTTCCCCTTGAAGGGACCATTGATGGTAAAAGATGGCTTAGAGTAGGAGACTGATTATTATGAAGATTATAATAATAATAATTATTATTATTATTATTAAGATTATTATGAATCCTTTGGCCCACAAAAGGTGCCTGTTCCCACCTTTTCTTACTGGAACCTAATTAATTAAAAAAAAAAAAACCTTAAAAAAAAAAGAGAGATTTTTTTGGCCTTTATGTTCTAGAAATTTGTGCTAGGAGAGTGAAAAAAAAAGATAGAGAAAATGTGATGTTTACCTGGAGAGAAATAAGTTTCAATTTTCTACTGTTTTTGTCAATACTCAGAAAGTATATACGGACCTTTTTACTACTTGATTGTCCTATGAATCAGAATGGCTGTAACTCAGCCACTGGGGACAAGAGACTTTAGCCGCTGCTGCTCGCTATGGGGTCCTAGCCCCTGCGGCCAACAGTGCTTTTAATCCTTGAATTACTTGACCTAAATGCCAAACACAGACTAACTTAAGATCTGATGGTAATGCTAGCGTTTGCTGCTAAAAAACCTTTGGAGCACCCACGTGCCACAGAAAAAAGTGCAGGATGTACAGAGACAGAACAAGCTGCTACCGCAGTAAGATCTTGGCCAGGCAGGGGAAAATGCAGACAAAATCAAACAAAACGCAATCGGCTAGGAAAACTTGGGGAACTTTTGCCCCGAAAATGGGCAGTGGACTCCATGTTGTTTGCATCACCATGGTAACCATGGGGTGCCTGGCCGGAAGAGCAGGCTTCCTGGTCCCACCTCCCACACTTCCGATTGGTTCTTCCACAATCACTCAGACAGGACTTCTAGTTCCGCCTTCCAGCCACTAATCTGTACTACTGTTTTTCAGATTTCTACCGGAGCTGTTCAGAGCCTGTATTTTTAAGAATGCCTACCTGTAAATGCTAACAAAAGATATCTTTTTCAGACAAAATTTAATTCCACAGCTTTCTATGTTGCAGCCCTAAATTTAAGTTAGTTCTGAGTTAAATAACCTGACTTTTCTCTATAGTTGTGTTACTAAATAATGTTCTATTGATGAGAGATATCAAACATGCTTCTTTATATTTTACTTTTAATTTTGGAGGTTATGAGGATGCATTTGCTCGCCACAGGAACAAAGCCGGCAATGTTCCTGTGATGACCAAAAAATCCTTATTCTCATTCCTAACTATAAAAAATAAATATGTATACTCAACAAGGATTTTATTTCAGTTACATCAAGTGACGTCACATAGAAGAGTGCACTCCTAGTTAAAAATAAATTAAGATGGATCCAAATATTTTAAGACCACGTGGTTACATAAAATTAATACAATTATAAGTTATGTTCTTACTCTTAATATATATATTTTTAAGATATTTAGATAACCTATATTTGTTAATCTATAAAATAATTAGCACATGCCTAATTGATTAGTTAATATATATTTGCCTAATTGTTTTTCTTCAACAGAAAACCCATAATTTATGTTTTGTATTTACATTTATCAGATACTCTGCCTTTTCAGTTACAGATATTTGAGATAAATGTGTTTACTATAAATTTGCTTTTAAGTGAAAATACAATCTTCAAGTAGTTTCTAATTCTCAAAGTTACTGTTCAAACTCATAAGATGATAAATAATTATAATTATGTCTACAAAATATCTAAGGATTTTAACTATATTTTCATTGATATCTCTCAAAGCTCTCCAAAATTGTTCTACAACCTGTATGCATACCCAGGCTATGCGATGCATGTCTCTTGTTATGCGTCAGCCTCAATTTGTGTTAACTAGCAGGGAGAACAATTTTTTGAAGCCACCCTAACTAAAACTCATGCAGCAGAGGGGACCACTATTCATTATACCCCCCTCCTCTTTGACCAGAGGAGAAGGTATATACACCAAGTTACAGTCAGCTGGATGCCAAGGCACTGTTGGTAGACCCTCCTGCTGGCCCATTAAGGCCCCTACAGGGGTCTCTGATGGTGGAGGACCCACTGATGCTGTCAAGCATCTTCAGATAATCAAACTTTTGAAACCCCAAATCCCTGAGCTCACATATCATCCCTTAATGCTGCCTAAATCCCAGCTCCCAGATTTAGATACCAATACATTAGATATTTTGGAAACTACCTTCCCCTTGCTTAATAATTCCAACCCCACCCTTGCTGGTGATTGCTGGCTCTGCATGACAACAGGGGCAATCATGCCTATGGCAGTTGCTATTAATTCTATCATAGACAGTGATAATACATGCCAACCTGGATTTCCTTTTAAAGTACAGCCTATAGGCACTTTTACATCATGTCTTTTAGGCGCGATGCAGAATAATACCTATGATATTGATGTTGGAGTTACTTCCTTTGGAAATTGCTCAACAGTACAAAATTATTCCTCACCCACCAGGCTGGTACAATTTATTAAAGAACAGATTAATATTTTGGACTCTAAGCCCATACAGGTCCAGTATCATCATCTGGAGATGGAAGACTGTGCTGCCAACATTTAAAAGGATGTTCTACCCTTCTTTCAGGCTTATTTCTTAAGTTTACATCCCCACAGATCTCTCTTTCTTATATAAAAGTATAAGTAACAGCTCTGACCAACCATCTTCTGCCCTTGCCATAAGGGTTCGCTCCTCCATGGGCCCCTCCGCTTGGGGGAGGACTCACCCATGGAGTGAGGATGTTAGGCCATAATGACGGAGGGTGCAGGAAGGACTGCAGGAGGATGGATCCACGGATCCCAAAACCCAAGACCTCTGAGTGACACGCTCTGGTGCATGGCGGTTGGCATGCTCCCCCCTCAAAGCCGACTCCTCCAAAAACATGCCAAGGCCACCACGAAATCTCCCAGTGAAGACAATCTCCTAGTGAAGACGCTCGCTCGGATCAGGAGATATTCTAAGGCCTTCTAGAGGAACAGAGCCTCTATCACCCCCTAAAAACATGGCCAGTAAGGTATGGTCAGATATTTTATATAAGAAAAGGGGAGATGTCAGGGACTAGAAGGAAATTCTCCTTCAAAGATTAGCCTGACAGCCCCCTGGGAGACATCCTGCCTGGGAGGCATCCTGCAGCTACCTATCTCCCAGGAACATCCTGCGGTTATCAGGATCATCAGACATCTTGCACCTGGCAGTTTTACCACTCACATCCAGCAATTGTTGATTAGAGAGCTTCCCCATCCCCAGCATATAAATACCCCTGTGTGAACAATAAAAGTTTGCAGCTTGATCAGAATTTTTGTCTTGCTCTCACCTTTCGTGTCTCTTGTCCCTTCATTCCTCCCCATCTAGGTTCGCTGCCCACGTTGATGTGTCCTGCCGGACGGGACAATCAAATATTGTTTTATTCTACCCATCCCACCATTAGTTTGGAGGATATAAACAAGTGTACTAATTTTTAGAGTTAGCTTGAGTGTCTTAGTATGTTCAGATGCTATAACAAAACACCATAAACTGGGTGGCTTTTTTATTTTCACATTTTGGACGCTAGAAAGTCCAAGATCAAAGTGTCAGCAGGTTCGTTGTCAATTGAGGACTGACTCTTATTCAAAGGTGGTAGCTTCTCACTGTCCTCACATAATGGAAGGAGTGAAGGTCTCTTTTAGGCCATGTTTGCAAGGGCACTAATCCCATTTATGACAGCTCCATGTTCATGGCTGATACCTCCCAGAGGCCCCATCTCCTATACCATCACATGGATGAGTAGGTGTCAAAATATGAATTTGGGGAGGACACAAGCATTCAGATGACAGTCCTTAGAGATTTCAATACGCATCCATGATTTATCGAGTTCTAGTGTTATTTCATACATTTACCAGTTCCCTTTTAACCCCTCCTTCATCAGGTTATGCCATGATTAGTTATTTGAATTCTGTATTTTGAACCTCCCTAGATATTATTATTTTATACAATTAATATTAATTTAGATATACTACATATTTACCCTCTTCATTGTTCTTCCTTCATCTCTGAGTTTCCATCAGGATTATTTTCTTCTTCCTGAAGACCACTCTTTTTTTTTTTTTTTTGGTAGTCTGATGATGATACATTTTCCTATCTTTTGCTTAGGAATAGGCTGGCAGTTATTTTCTCTGAATACATTAAAGATTTCATCCCATAGTTTTCTGACTTCCACTATTCCTGTTGATAAGTCATTTGTTTGTTTTGAGAAGCTAAGTCTCAGTTTAGTTGTTACTCTTTTGAAGGAATTCTGTTTTCTTTCTTTGGCTGTTATAAAGATTTCATCTTTTGTTTGTTTGTTTTTAGTTTTACTGTTTTTAGTTATTTACCTGTTTGGAGTTGAATACATGGCCTGAGTATTTGATCAGTTTAGTAAAATTCTCAGCATTCATCAAATATAACTTCTTCCTCTTTCTCTTCTTTCTTCACAGGGATTTCAAACACATGTGTGTTAGATCTGCTCACACTTTATTTCTATTCTATTTTCCTATGCTTCACTCTAGATCTTTTCCTCTGACACTTCTTCTAGTTCACTAATTCTCTCTTCAACCATACCTAATCTTTTATAAATTCTACCAACTATGCTAATAATTGGGGTCACTGTATTTTTCAGTTCTAGATTTACTATTTGACTCTTCCTCAAATCTACCAGTCTTTTGTTATACTTTCCAGATCTCTTCATTTTTTCTATATTTTTTCCTTGGAACATTAAACATAATTGTTTTAAGTCTGTGTTCGAGAGTTCTAATGTTTAGGGCTGGGGTTGTGGCTCAGGAGTAGAGTATTTACCTAGCACATATAAGGCCATGGGTTCAATCCTCAGCACCACATATAAATAAATAAAATAAAGATATTGTGTCCAACCACAATTTAAAAATAAATTTAATTAAAAAAAAAACAGTTCCAATATCTAGATCCCATATGAGATTGTT